CCTCCTCTCAATTTCCGGGTGAGGGTGCACCCAGCCAAGACTCCCTGGCCTACCCAAGGCAGACCGGCCCCACCCTGCTGCCCCAAGGCTAGGATAGGTCCTGCCCGGGGACAACTGCCAGAAATGAAATGAACCTACACACGCCCAAGCTCCAGCCTGGCTCCCACCATGGTGCAGACCCCCACTCAGGAATTCTCACCCCAACCAGACAGCCCTCCTACCTCAAAAGCAAATATTCATCCACACACATTTGCCACTTTGCAAACATTCCTCAGTGGACTCTGAACCTGAGGGAGGCAACTCACTTGCCCAGGAGGCATTTAGCACGAGGTAGTCAAAGACAGCCAGGATGGAAGCCCTGCCCTGGTGTGGCCGCCAAGCCTCTTGTGGGGAGGAAAGAAGGAAGGAGGGAGCACATGGCCGAGTTGTGATCACAGAGTCAGGAAGAATCCGCTCCGCTCCACACACAGCCCCAGCCAGCTATGAACTTCGCCGGTTCGGCAATTCCACCAACCGTCCAACGTTTTCAACCACTTCAGAGGGTCAGGCCCCCTAGCAGACACCACCAGGGATGGCAACAATCTCACTCCAGATCCTGCCTCTGGGGACCTCCCCACTCCCCAGGATTGTCCCCAGTCTTGCTCCTTGTCCCATGTGGAAGCAATCAGCCACTCAGGACAGAGCCTTTGTGCCCTGTTGAGAAGGTGTTAGGGAGATGGGCCAGTCACTCCCATCTCGGCTTATTTCCACCTCTGGAATGAGGGGGCCCCCCCTCAGTCCGCTCTGCATAGTCTCACCTGGGCCACCTGTGACTAAGTAAGGGCGCTGAAACTGAAGCCCACCGCAGCTTCTTGTCAGCCACCAAGTTGGCCTGGAATGGGCAGGAAACCCCTACATTGACCCCTAAACTGGTAGGAACTACCCTCCACCCTCAAGAAGGCCAGCTTTGGGCACTAGTTTAAAGTGAGCCGGTGGCAGGAAGGTGGCAGGTAAGGTCCTGGGAGCCCAAAGAGGAAGCTAGGTGTGACCCCAGCTGTCCTCTGAAATTGGGTGCGGTGCGGCGGGGCTCCCACAAAGACTGTATGCAGCCACTGGGGCTGGTCTGCTGTGAGTCACTTCTTATTTGGCCCAGAGGAAGTGGCCTGCTTCTTATAGGGGAGGGGAGAGTTGACCAGATGGTTGCTATGAGCACTACGCTCCGGGCATGGTCTGTTTTTCCTTCTGGAGGAGAAGGAACACTGGTTAGGAAACAACGCTAAGGGCTGCTAGGCTTTCAAAGTCCCGAGGAAGTGGAGTACCAGGCCTTCGCCCAGGGCCAGGACTGTAAAAACAGGTGCCCATAGGGTAGTCCAGTTGGCAAAGCCTTTTCCCATCTCACTAGATCCTCTTAGCTGATAAAGTGACCAGATTTTAACATTGGTAAACCGGGACACCATTGATAAAACTCATATCCTGGCGAAATAGCCACATGGCAGCCGAAAACTGTATACCCTAGCTTGTCATGCATTCTTTCCAAAAATCGGGACTTTTAAAACGCCGCGGGACGCAGGAAAAATTGTTTAAAAAATCGGGACTGTCCCCCCAAAAACAGGACATCTGGTCATCTTATCATAGCAGCCTAGTGGTAAACATGTTCTTACCCCCATTTTACAGATGGGGAAAGAGAAGCTCCAAAAGGTGCTGAGCCCTGAGCCATAAGTCTGCAGCCCATATCAGACTTTTGTTTTCCAGCCTGGTTACCCTGAGGTAAAAGACCTGAGATTTTGACCGTGAAGTCAAAAGGTAACTAGATAGGGACAAAAGGGGGTTGTCAAAAAAAAAACAACAACAACAAAAAAGGGGGGTTGTCTCCCCTGAATGCCCGCGCCAACAAACAGTAGCTGTGCAGGCCACAATAAAGGGGTTGGTAGGAAGTGAGGCGCACTCATTAGACACCTATGGGAAGACCAAAGCTGGACATGCTCAGACCAAAGTCACAAAGGAAAGCTGGGCCAACACACCACGCTAGGCACATGACGTCACACAGGTAGACCTAAACTCAGCCATTAAGATCCACTAATACCCTCAACCACGCCTCTCCAGCCCGTGGGGATAGGAGGGGATAAAAGCAGGCCTTGGGCAGGCCTCTCTTCTCTCGTTGGGGTGCCCTCTTGCAGGTTGGAGGGTGAGATTCCTCCCGAGTGCGGGTGCAC